TCCTGGAGATCTAATGCCCAGCATGGTGATTACAGACAACAGTATTGTATTATAAACTTCAAAGTTGCCAAAAGACTAGATCTTGCTTATTCCCACCACAAAAAAGAAATGATAATTACGTGGCATGATGGAAGTATTCACTAACACTATGGTGGTGGTCATATTGCAACAGATGAATGTATCAAATCAACACATCATACACTTTAAATTTACACAGTATTATGTCAGTTATATCTGAATAAAAAAGCCAATTATAAGATGAAATGGCCCTGAACTATAATCTTTTGGTAGACTATTCATCAGAGCAATAAACATTACCTATGTGTCATATATACAGACCAATTAGGGATAACCTTCATATTTCAAATGCATTTCAAAAACTAAAATTTATTCCAGTGATTGTGAGACTTAAAACTTTTGTTTTTTGGGGCGCCTGGGTGGCTCAGCCGTTGGTCATCTGCCTTCGGCTCAGGTCATGATCCCAGGGTCCTGGGATCGAGGCCCACATCAGGCTCCCTGCTCAGTGGGAAGCCTGCTTCTCCCTCTCCCACTCCCCCTGCTTGTGTTCCTTCTCTTGCTGTTTCTCTCTCTGTCCATTAAATAAATAAAATCTTCAGAAAAAAAAGTATTAAAATTTAAAAAAATAAAAAAAAAACTGTTTTTTTTTTTTTTATGTTATTTTTTCCATAAATACATTTCTGATCTGTAATAATTGTTTCCAAGAATTCAGATTTCCTTGATCTGAGCAATTCTTTTTTCCAAATTCTTGAGTAACTTAAAAAATTTAATAGAAAGTAGATTCTGTTTGCTTGCTTTATTCCTTTTTATTTCTTACATGTGAGGCATGTATTTTTGTCCTTAAGATTATTAGATTTTTTTTTTAAAGCTCATTAAAGTCTTTAAAAGGACAAATTAGGACTAATCTTTCTTCTTCTTCTCTCTTGAGGACAAGAACCATAGTGGCAGCTTTGTGTATTGGAGGGGATTCTCAGGAAAGCTTTGCTTTTTTTCTGGCTCTAGTACATACTTGCTCCCCCTGGCCTGGCCACACCTAACTGATATGTGATACTGGGGTCCACCTAACCACCTACCTAGGACAAGATGTCAGTGCTAACACCAGCTGCTGCCATGTACATTGATCAGAGCAGCATCAAGGATAGACTAAGATACACTGGGGTAAAAAAAAGAAAAACCTTGTGGGTTTTAACAACAAAGGTTTATTTCTTGTTCATCTCCATCATAGGTTCTGCTCTCTGGGGGCTCTGCTTCATGTCTCCTCATTTGGGGATATATCCTGAAGCAACAGTGGCCATCTGGAGCCATTACTGGTGTCCCAAGCAGACTTAAAGACAAGTCTGGAGGGCCTCCCATTGGCCATTAAAGTTTCTGGTCTGGCAGTGACACGTATCACTTCTGCTCACTACTTACTGACTATAACAAGTCCTATGGTCTCATGGAAGTACAATCCCATCATGTGCCAGGAGGGTGGGAAGCCAGAAATACTGGGTGAACAGCATTAACTATTTTTATAGTCTTCCATGCATTATGCATGTCTTCTTTCTCCTTCTTAGGAGGATGCTGACTTTGATTAGTTACCTATCTCTCCCCCATGCTGCCCATTAAGTTAGGGAAACCTGAGCCTACTTTCCTTTCCCGGAATGGACCCTGATGCACTTTAGCCAATCAAAAACATCTTAACCTGGTTATAAATGGTTCAGGAAGGAAGACAGGCATAATTCAGGCCAATGAGAGGCTATGAGAGGTTTGCAGAGGCTTTGGGGAAAGGTTTCTTCTCATTCTTCTAGGATAGCTTCTAAGAGTAACTCCCTTGTTTTCCCTGGATGTGGGGAGGAAAGCATATAAGCCCAAATGCTACTTGTAGCCATTCTGTGATGCAGAGGAGAACCAACCACCATGGTTGTAGAGCTGAGAGATGGATAAAACCTGGGTCTTGGCTTGGGGAGAGGGGTCAGCCAAACCTACAGCCTCTTCTCCCTTAGGACTTCAGTTATCCTTGCCAAAAGCATCCAAACTGATACATCTGCTTAACTAGGTTTCCTGTCATGTCCTTCTTGCCGATTTGTAGTCCCTGCCTCCAACTTGGGCTCCTTATCACATTCTACTAGCTGCCTTTCCCTCTTGTCACAATTCACTTGGATATAGAAAACAGATTTGCCTCAAACTCCCAGTATCATATGAATCCTTCCTTTGTTTACTGACTTCATGACCTTCCCATGTGGTCTGCTTGATCTTTAACTCTCTGCCTCCAAACACTTGGACCATTCCTGGCTTGCCTTGATTCGCAGCACCCACACCAATGCTAAGAAGGGGACCAGCTTCTCAAAGACATTTTTGTTTCTTTAAAGCGTGTCCTTTGTATCATTAAATTGTATCTCGCCTACACACTGGTTGAAACTAAAGCAGCCTGCATGGTCAAATGCTATAAAATACAAAAGGTCAGTGGAACAGTCCCTCCACTCTGTCAGGGGCACAGAGTATCAAAGAACCATGCGCTATGCAATTTAATGACTGGCTCGCTTGAGTCCTAAATTGGGGCTGCACTATAGAAGCCTCAGCAAATGGATTTAAAGCTGCCATTGAAACATGCCATCACATCCCATCCGTGAGCTGAAGGGTGACAGTGGGCAAAAAGCAGAAAGCCCAGCACCAATGTGGGCAGGGGTGCGCTTTTTTGATCCAGATTTTAATGGGCATATTTTAGGTGAATTCTAATAGGCATGAAGTTAACACATTTTGCGTGTCTTCCAGCCCAGCTCATTTACCACCATAAACATAAGAAGTTATGCCAAGTTAGCTCACTTCAAATAGTTTAGGAAAAATCAGGGACGAGGCAAAGCTGTGAGCAATCTAAGAAATAGGACTATTCTAGGAGCTGTGTGGGGGTGGAAGGCACGGTGTTACTTATAGGACTAGACATGCAGAGTCTGAGTTAGCCCCTTTCTGAATTATTAATACTTCCTAAAACCATACCACAGAAGATCTGGACCTTTTACATTGACTGCCCTTGTATCTAACAGGATGATTCCAGAGAGATTTCTGGCAGGTTCTAGGAAAATATTCTGAGACTGACAGTTGCTTTGGGGAATAAAGAGACAGCGTGTGTCTGCTTCCCCACCCCCCACCCTTCCTTTTCTTTAGCTCATTTTATCAAGTCATGCAAAGCTTTCACTAATACAATTGAGGCTCACAAACTGTTAGAAGAATTGCTGTCTTAATGAACATCATTTAAGGAAGAGAGGAAGAAAGAAAGCAGGCAAGGGTTGGGGAGAGAGAACAGAAGGCTGTTATCTAGCTGGTTTGGCTCCCTCTCATCCAGAAGGCTGACTTTCCGGCAGTGGGAAGGAGGCTGGGTCAATTTATGGTAATTAGGATCTTATGTGGCAGCTCATGATTTGCATTTCCTCATTTTGTTGTTCCCCTTCATGTTTGCTGGAAGACTAAATAATACACTTCTATGTTTGTACCAAAGGATTATTCTTAGGACTCAGAAGAGGAATGGCCATCAGAGAGCATATCTGGCCTGGTTTTCCAGAAATGGTTTTCAGGGGGGATGAAGGCAGATGGCTTTGTAGAATCAGGTGACCAGTCTCTAATGGACTTTAAAGACTTTAGAAAAGGACCATAAGATTTTAAGAATTTCCCTGTGGATCTATTATCCAGGTGCTGACTACCTAGTTGTGCAGGGGATTATCAAAATCATTTATTTTCCCCTTCTGTGTTCTATTGAATATATTTTGCCTTCCAAGAGACTCAAGTTGTAGGTAAAGCCCACAGGGAGTTATGGATAGCATATTTTCTCATCAAATGGTGGTCACAATAATTTCTCCTATCAGTCCAGCGAATGCCCTCTAGCCCAGGCCCTGGACTTTCCCCATCCATTGTGATATGTGATTGGCAACTTCTCACTGATGATAGAGATGCTGATTCTCCCCAGCTGCCAATTAGCCACCATACAGATCACCTTTAAATTCACTTTATATTAAACAAGGAGGGCTTTAAAGGTATGGCTTGGAACACCGAATGGCAGGATTGGTTGGACATTTCTGGAGTATATTTTAACAGAATCATAATTTCCAGCAGCTACTTTTGAGAAGAAACGATTCAAGAAACATTGGCTCTCAAATTTAATGTGATCGCACACATCACTAGCTGTGTGATGACCATCTGCTTTTAAAACAGGGGTCCACACTGACAGCCATCCTAATTCCACTTCTTTGCTATCAACATGAGCTCTGTAGTTCAAATTACTCTACATCATGCCCCACCTAGCACATTTACAGAGCCTTTCAGTTCATTGCCTTTTCTGGGAAGGCCTGTGGCAACTTTGCCCACGTTCTGATTATTATTCAAGTCACTAATAGCAGGAATATCAATGCTATGCATTCATCATGTGCCAATGATGATGGCAATGGAAGCTTCAGAGCTGGGATCATCTGGGCCACTTTTTTTTTTTTCATTTTGCAGAAGAAACCAGGGCTCAATTGACCGCCCTCAAATCTATTGGCTATTTAGAGCAGGTCTGGCAAGAGAATGCAGAGGCTTTTTAATGTAAACATTTTACTGAAGTATGTGTATTATACTTCTCTAGTATATACAGAAAAGTATGCATATCATACATGTAAGATCAGTGAATTCACAAAGTGGGAACACCCGTCTGGATGGCACCCAGCCCAAGAAACAGAATCAGTTCCTTGAGGCTCCCTTCCCAACTTACCACACTCCTCGGACCCCATCTTGACTTCTAATACCTTAGACTAATTTTGATTTTATATTAATGGATCCAAAAGCCTGTCAGTCAGCAACTCCCCGCACCACCCCAGCTTCTTTGGACATCACGTTCTCCTAAAGGAGATAACACAAAGCAGTTCAGGAGTTTAAAAAAATGAGACAGGAAGGGGAATCAAATTCTATTGTGAGGTCAGAGTTCCATCAGGTTCAAGGCAGCTCTGAATTCTTTCACAGTTAGGCACGAAGGCCACTTCATTGGAGCCAATGTGCTAAAAATCCCAAACAAGCCAAACCCAGCTCCTGTCCGGGCAGCTGTGACTGCTGGCCCACTTAGTTGCTTCTTGGCCACTCTGATGACAGTTATAATTCTATAAGTGTGAGTTCCAATCAGTCCTTAGAAAAACTGATTACCATTTTTGTGGCTGCTATTGATTTTCATCCTGATATATTACCATCCTTGATAATATTGCTTTTTCATCACTGACATCTTAGCAGATCCAGAGAAAGAAAGATTATTTGAGTACTTGCTAAATTTCTGCACAACGAATAACCGACTTTCTCCATCTCCCTCCTATAATGCAACGCTAGTCTTTCCATTTGCTTGTTTTCATTTTGGTTGAAATACTCAGTTTTCTATGACAGTTGAAATGAAATACTCAGTTTTCCTATCTCTCCTCTGTCTTCTCCCTTTTCTCTGGGAGGTAATGTAAATCTACATGCTTCATTTACCACCCAGTTGTGCAGCTGACTGCATCTTAGAGATGCTAGCAAATAGCAGGGTCTGATACAGACAAATGGTCAGCCCACAGGATATCTGTGAGATCTGCATCTTTTGGTCACCTATCCCTTTGCACAGTCAGATACTTACCCAAGCAGTTTATGGGCGGAAATACAAGTGGCTGCAGAACTGGGTCTACCAGCTGTCCAAACTCTTTCAGCATATCGATGGATCATCTTATTTTTCTGCTCTATAAGTTACTGAATATGGGAAAAACAGAATAGATCTTCCTTGTCTAGTAAATGAAGGGGTAAAGTTACAATAGTAAAAACAAGGTATAGGAACAAAGTGCTTGGGTTTGCTCTCTAGGGAGCATTTTATACAGCCACGTGCCTTCTTCCCCAGAGGCAGCAGAATTCTTTTGATATTTGAGTCTGGAAGCACGGGTAAGAACCAAAAAGTGAAAAAGCTATTTAGTCATGGATAGTACCATGTCAAAGTGGACTGATACAAGGAGCCATGATGGAGGTGATGAATTCATCTGTAATAGAGTTTGGACTCGCAGAGAATTCTAGCAAGTTTTGGATTCACATGGGAGGGAGATATGTCGTGACTTCCAGGGAAGAAGCTGGCCAAAAAGAGATCTCTCAGATTAAAAAAACAACCCAAACAAACAAACAAACAAAAAACCATAAGCTGCCAGCATGCTAGCTAATGAGGAGGCACACACTTCTATCTACTCTCCTTCCTGGGGTGCACCCCTGTGTGTCTCTCTATCCTTTGGATGGTTGTAGGCAGTAAGCCCCTGCCTGTGGAAAGAGGGCTAGAGGGCAGAGATACACTGAGGGGGAAAATGCTTTCTCTTTGACTTAATTAAACCCTTTTTAATTATGTCAGAACTAGCCCCATCAATAAAATGTTGCCCACAGGCTTGGTTCCCAGACTTTTGAAATTTCCTTTGTACTTTTGTGTTTGTTTTGTGAACAAAAAGAAAGTTTCCTGAAGCCAGGGAAGGTTAAGCCAATGACTCCCTCTCTGTCCTCAGATCAGATCACAGGAGTGACAGCTTGGATACTGGAAAGGAACCTGCTCAGAAAGGCAGTTCCGATTACACCACCAAGAAGCATGAAGAAAAACGGGGCAGTCATGGAAGTAACAAGAGAATGTTAATCACAGAAAAACAAAGAGAAAGTGTAAAATTTATGGAAGATCTTCAGGAAGTTCAAGGTGCTCTATTTATGCTTTTCATTTATGCCAATGACATATAGAAAGACCAAATGACTTGATGATAAAACCCCACATTTGAATAATATTTTTATAGCTATGAATTGCTTTTGCTTATCCTGTCTTGTGTGATCCTTATTTGAGCCTGGCAAGTAGAGAGGTATATAATATATTCATTTTGTACACAACGAAATGAAGCTCCAAAAGGTTATGTGACTGGTTTAAAGTCACAAATGACTAGAAATCTGGTTGTCTAGCAACCAGTCAAGTGTGAATTTCAGTGCACTAGAATGTCCTTTTTAATATATTTCAGGAGGGTAAGGTATAGAAGGTGACACAAATCAGACAATAACTGAGATTATAAGAGCCTGTTTTAGGCACCATGGATTTCAAAAGGAAGAAATGATGTGATGTTGTTCACAGGTGGTTTACCATCTGGTTGGAGAGAGTGGCCCTCATATTAGGACTATACATGACACTGCAAAACTGGATGGTACCAAAAAAAAAAAATAAAAAAGCATAAGCAAATTCCAGAAAGGAGACATTAAGTATGGCCAGGCAATGCTGGGCAGATTTTCAGATAGGAGGTAAGATCTAGATGGACTGAGCATTGCACTGAAGTGGGGTCTGCCTGTGGGATGAGCAGTGGGATGTGTGAATCGGACCCAGGGAGCAAAAAGGCTACTTGGGGGACATCTTGATTTCAGTGACGTACAAGAAGATTTGGGAATTTGTGGGGAGAATTGCCGTGGGTGGTAGTGAAGACACCAGGCTATGAGGACTCAAATCACTTACAGTATCAGAATAAACTTCGTTTGCTTTTGGAAACAACCAGTCAGGCAGGCTGGGGCACAGAGCCCTGGCCAACACATAGGGTCCATGTGGCTCATGCTACTCCACAGTGCTGCCATCGGCTTTCCTCTTGTCCTGCAAGGCAGTTTTGAATATAAAAAAAATAGCAGGGTATATCAGGAAATTGAGAAACCCAGGGACAGACTTGGTTGGCTGGCAAATTCTGTAATATATAACATTAATTTAGTGCCCCCATTGAGAGGAAGAACTCCTAGAAAAAGTTAGGGCCTGCAATCAATATGAATGTTGACAAAGACTCTTGCTAAAGACTTCAATCCTCCATGAAGGTGTGTATGGAGAGGAATTCCCTCAAAGAACATCTAAGTCAGCCACAGGGCTGGTAATGGAAAGAAACAGCTTATGAGTGGAGTAATTTTTCTGTTTTCCTACTATTCTTTAAGGTGTCCAAACCCCTTTTTAAAAAAATTTTTAATTAATTTATTTGACAGAGAGAAAGAGAGACCAAGTGTGTGGCAAGCACAAGCAGGGGGAACAGGAAAGGGAGAAGCAGGCTCCCCACTGAGCAGTGAGCCCGACACGGGGCTCAATCCCAGGACCCTGGGATCATGACCTGAGCAGAAGGCAGATGCTTAACTGACTGAGCCACCCAGGTGTCCCCGTCCAAACCCTTTTTATGGTATATGTGGATTTAACAGAAAATGACAGGGAAGGAGTAACTGATGTCTAAAAATAGGAACCAAAGTTTCTTCTGGTAGGTTGGGTAGCAGGACATGCAGCTGGAATTTAGGTTGCTCTTTTAATTATGTTTTCCTCATGGCAGCTTCCTGCGCAGATAGTTGAAGGGTGGTCGGAGCATGGAAAAGCCCAGAAACCCAACGTTGTTAAAGAGGTCCCCATTAGCATTTCTCTCAACCCCAGGAGTCTGTTGGAGTTTACGGGCTCTTTAAAACTGACCTGTTCCCTTACCTCTATCCCTAGGACTGAGCTAGGTTCTCTCTATATATTTACCAAGAACACCATGTACTCATTAGCTATAGTATAAGAGAGAGGGAGTGAGCAAGCAAGAGAGAGAGAGTGTGTGTGTGTGTGTGTGTGTGTGTGTAAAAGAGGGAGAAAGAGAGAGAGAATTTAAATAGTGCAGGTTGGTTACTGGCCTCTGTTATAGTTAGGGAAGGCAAGCTGTCATTGGGCTCGTGACGGGAGCTATGAATTCATCTTCACTTGGTCCTTCTCAGTTCCCCTGTGCTTTCCATAATGTGAGCATCTTGCCATGCTGTGTGTTTTAGAGTTTAAAGATATTATTTTTTTAAAAGCATAGTCCATAAATGCAAGAATGGTGCTCAACCAGGAAGCAACAACTGTTTCCCACACTGGTGGAAAGAAAAGCTTGATGTGTTGGACACAGAGAAACTGTGGTTCTTTCCTAAAAGGATTCTCAAGGGCAGTTTGGCTCTACATATTTTTTGCCCTGACACTGACTTTAGCCACAGCTCCTGTGTAAATGCAGTCTTGTTGAAAGCTAAAAGAGAGAGAATGAAGAAGGTGAAGAGAAAGATGGTAGAAGCAGCAAGTATGACTTGGAGGACTCTTTCACCAGCACCTCAGGAAACTGTGTTCTCTAGCCCAGGAATGGTCACCTGCTCCAACTGTTCAAGCAGCATCTTTCTCTCTGGCTTCAGCAATTTTCACTCATTCACATGAGGAAGGCAGGGAGAAGAGAGCCTTATTCTAATTAAAACAAAACAAAACAAAAACAACAACAACAACAAAAAGCCCAAACGCACAAGAAAGTCAAGATATTGACCGGCCTCAGCAGTTAGTGAGAAAGCATTAGACTTTGAACTCTGGATTCAGTTTGTCTTCTTATGTGTATAATTTAAGGACAAAATAGAGCACTACATGCTTTCTCAACAGCAAGAGAGCAAACGTAACAGAAAAAGGTTTTTATAGTCCCATTGGATGAAGCCCTACAATAGATTGAAAAGATAAAGTGTGAAATGGTGTGTGAAGAGAATGAGCTAAGTTAACAGAGGAGTCAGTTGGAAAAGCTGTAGCTGACAGGATTCAGGATGGAGGATGCTGAGGCCTTCTGGAGAACATGGTCTTGAATGGTCTGTTCATATCCCTTGATACATGCTGAGCTCTCTAATAGTTAGGCTGTAGGTGATTCTGTTCTTATTAGACTATAAATTAGTTGACCTACATCATGTGTCAGAGATTATAAGAACAGAACCAGGATCTGCTGAGAATACTCTTCATGGAAGAATTATGTTTTCTTCCATGTGTGAACAAAAAGGAATGGTTTCTACTTTGCCCATAGTACTACACATGATTTATAAAAGCATCACTAGGGATAGGTTGCATTGCACAGGGTTTAAAAATTCAATGAGAAAGAATGTAAGGAAGATAACCATCTCAAATCTATTGTTCTCATGCTTTCTATTGTATTAGGACACGTGACTACCCTGGGAATGAGCTAACACTAATTTTTGGCTTCACAGCTGCAGCATCTCAACAAGGCACCCAAATTATACTGTAAGCACTTGTAAGACTTTCCTAGACTTGAAGGGCAGAGAGCATAGTAAGGATAACACAAGGCCTCAGCAATCATGCTAGGAGAGTTTCAGAGTGATCCCCAATGCAACAGAGAGAACAAGCCCATTTTAGAAGTGGAAGAGTATCTCTCACACTGTCTAGTGATGAAAACACTTAAAAGACAACAAAGCAAAGTATGAAGGCATGTGGCTTGGGAAGACAAAGAGGCAGCATAATAATTACAGATTGTAACTAGTAGCTAGGCCTAGTCATACACAGGGCATAATAAGAGAATTTTCTAGAACTGCCTTGTTGGTTCTGCACAATGCTGGGCTTTTAGTAAATATATTACATTGTCTCTTTAAAAGATATTTTCCTAGTAAATACAAATGCATTCATATGATCTGGGTAATTAAACTTAATTGTGTAATTAGAACAAATGAGCAGAATTAGATTGCACTAACCATATGTAACAGCATTATTAGGTACATAAATCTTTTCTTCAAGTTTTATATGGAATCTATCCCCTCGGCCCCCCCAGAGTAGTCTTACCCCACAAGACCATGGGCTGTCATCTTATGTTGTTCAGGATGGCATCCATCATTTCAATCCCTCTTACTCCCCTGCCTACAAGGATTTATACAGCAGCACTAGAGAGATTAATGAGGTATGTTAGTGAGAACCCATGCCTAAGTAACAGATTGAGAAAGTTGATTCTATGACAGTAATAATAACTGCTATTTATTAAGCATTACATTATACTAGGTATTATATTAGGACAATCATTTTATATATAATCTCATCCAAAATTTGATAACTGTAAGAGGTAGATGTTATTCTTATGCTTATTTGACAGATGAGGAGGCTGAACAGATAGCAACCCAGCTACAGATAATTCTAAAGCTCAGCTCCTAATGATGCTACTTTGACTTTGATAAAATTGACTCTTTTAATTCTAAATACCGCCAGTTAAAGCCTCCACTCCCTGCCTTTATATCTTTCTTTGTGGATAGCTGAATTTTATGTAAACATTTCAGTCTGTAACCAGTAGCTGAGCTGGATATGGACCACTGAGCTGAGGTAGGAAAATTTTTAAAGGGAAATTGTTTCCATCTAGCTATATTGCTCTTTGCTGACTGTTCATTTAATACCCATGAATCATGAGTTGTTTCCAAGAAGAGAAGTTGGGGGTAGTGGAGAGGCTGTCCACAGAGAGGGGCTGGCATGGACACAGACATGGAGTTATAGAAGGGCCCGGCATGCGAAGGGAAGTGTGTCTGCAGTGTGGGGGATTTGGGGCTGGAGAGGAAGGACTGGTGGAAAAGGTGGGGATGAGAACACAGGGGCATTGGTGGTCTAACCAACGCTTATGGAATGAAATCTGTAGGAGGTGGGAGTCTATGGCTGTGTGAGTGGGGTTAAAGCTTAAGCAACGTTACTACTGATGCGATTTGTCCTTTAGAAAGAAAAATCTAGCACAGCATGGAGAATGAATTCTTGGAGGAGCAAATACAGACAAGGAGAAAGCTACTGCCATAGTCCACTTGAGACAAGGTCAGGCCCTGGGGAAGGAGAGAAGTGGCCAGATTCTCCAGACATTTCTAGTTTAAGATCAGCAGGATTTGGATATTCATTAAAGGCAGGTTGGGAGATTTGAGGACAATATTAAGCAATTTCACAAGGAGGAAATTCCTTTTTTTTTTTTTTTTAAGGAAGAGAGAGCAAGTGAGCGAGCATGGGGGAGAGGGAGAGGGAG